TCTCTCTCTCTCTCTCTCTCTCTCTCTCTCTCTCTCTCTCTCTCTCTCTCTCTCTCTTTTGAAGAAGTCAACTTTTGGCTCAAAGTAGGTCTTCAAGTTGGTGAAATAATTTATAATCAACTTGCTTGAACTATAAAAACAATCCTTAGTTCTAAAGAGATCTAAAAAGAAAGCATACAAATTCCACATGTAAACTATACTAAATTAAGATTTGTAATGCAATGCAGTCCTATAACTTGTATTTTCAAAGTGTCCATTAAGTTTCTATTTAATCCCACATGTTTGGAAAATAAAATAACTGGAAAATAAAATGAAATGAATTATTGAAAAAGACAGTAACAGAACTGAAATCTTGAATGGATTACAGAACTGCATTTTAGGATGTTAAAAAAAGTTCTATATAAGGTTATAGATTAAATGGAACATAAATCTGATGAAGACTGCAATTATTGTCAGAAGAATGTTAATTTCTTGTAGGCAATCATTTTTCTTGCTCAAACATAGCAGCACAGCATTTGATTTTCATTATGGAAAATGTGGTCTTTTTAAATCGCTACATGAGTAGCATGACTTCCAGAGAAGAAATGGTGAACTGAAATAAAGCCAAAAACTGGAGCAAAATGAATTGCTGGTGAGAAGACCAGCTCTTCCTGATTCCTCTTGGAACCAACTAATACAGATTGCCCACAAATGCTCCAGACGATTGCTCTTCACAAGAAAAACCAGGATGAGAATTTGAATGTTGGACACGAAAGGGAACCAGAATAAGCTAAAAGCTAGGGAACACTTACCTTAGTTTAATCTACTGGTACAGAAAGAAGCAAAATATTTTAACATTCTCATAATGAAGAATATGTTTGAACAATGAACCCAGAAGTTAATTTGAAAAGTGTCTGCCTCTTGTAGATGGAACTGCATTACAAATAAGTTATGGAAGAGGAACAAGTCTGTTTCTGACAAGATTGATTTAAAAATGACATGCTACAAGAATAANTGTCTGAAACGGTATAGGGTTTCCTGCCTAGGCAGGGGGTTGGACTAGAAGACCTCCAAGGTCCCTTCCAACTCTGCTATTGTATTGTATTGTATTATCACTAGTAAGGAAAGAGGATGGGTGTTCCTGCCACAGAGCAATAGAGAGACTGGCATGAAATGTGATGAGGGCAGCAGTCAAACAGCTTCTACTTGTGCTATGGAAAATATTAATTTGGTGCCACAACTCCTCCTCTGGCTGAGACCACACTTGGAATATTGTGTCCAGTTCTGGTCAACAGGATACCAAAAAGATGCTGAGGCATTAGAAAATGTAAAGAGGAGAGAACAAGATGATAAAAGGTCTGGAGCAGTGGTGAAATTCAATTTTTTTACTACTGTTCTGTGCCCATGGCTGGGGACGAATACTGCAAAATCCCCATTCCCTCCCCACTCCTGGAGGAAAGATATTGCAAAATCCTCGTTGCTACCCCACCCCAGAACCAGCCAGAGATTGTATTTGCCAGTTCTTCCAAACTACTCAAACTTTCCGCTACTGGTTTTCCAGAACCTGTCAAAACCTGCTGAATTTCACCCCTGGCTAAACTGAACAAGAATTGTTGGGACAATTAGGCAGGTCTACTCTAACGAAGAGAAGGAAGCAAATTCTGGGCGTTGAAGTCCATTCATTTAAAAAAGTTTTCAGGTGAGAAACGCTACCATTCTGCATATTGCACCTTTTCGTATCAAAGCGGTAACCAAGCTGCCAAAAAGTAATAAAAACAGAAATTAGACTGTATCACCCCACGGCTGTCCACGTCAAGAATCCCAACAACCCCCTTTTTTCCATTTCTGCGCGTAATTCCACGGGATTGGGGCGGGGGGGGGGAGCCGCTGGAATAAGCAAAGCGGCCAGCGTTTAGAGTTCGGGCGACGGCTTCACGTCTTTACTGAGCATGTGCGCATATTTCACACATGCTCATTTGAGCGTGATGGATGATCCCTTCGCACCGGCTCTGTGAAGTGCAAAAATAAAATAAAATAAAATAAATAGGGGCGGGCGTGGGGCGAGAGGGGTGAGGGAGGGAGAAGAGGCTGAATGCTCCCCCGCCCGACCTCGCCGTAAGCCAATGGCTGAATCTCGCAGCTCCTTCTCCAGAAGCTCCGATTTCGCTTCGCTCAGGTCACCCTGCTGCCCCTCCCCGCCCACTCCCGCCTGGCGTATAAAAGCCCTAGCGATCCTCACGCGTGCCCTTTGCTTACTGCCCAGGGACCCAGGACCGAAGGGAGGAAGGAGCAGAAGAAGGTAGCGCCAATCGCTCCATCCGTGCGTTTGATCACCAACTTCATCGGTGATCTTTCCAAGTGAATTCCGTGGAATTTTTTCAAGTGCTGCTTCCTCTCCCAGCAGGGAACCTTCCCCGCCCCCCGAGACCATTTCCTTTCGGGAGTTTGGATGGCAGCGCCCCGGGCTTGGCATTAAAAGGGGGAGCAGGCGAAAGGATCCCCTTGAAGCGAACGAGCGAAGTCAAAGGGAGAGACGCAGCAGCTGATTTTGCTGGCTGGTTTACCGGAATGCTGAACATGGCGATGAGGACCGCTGGACCCCTCGCCCTCGCCTTGGGTTTAGTCATCCATCTCTTCCCTCCGGTCCAACCCGCTGAGCAGGAATCCTATCAGTCGCCCCTTCCTGCAGGTAACTAACCTTGTTCTAGTTCTAAGTTTAACGCGTGCCAGGCCTCCACTGATTACGGTTTATATGCCTGTTATGGAGTATTCCTACCCTCCCCTAGGGTCTTTCCACTATCAGACTGATTTATAAGAGGATAATTCATTTCAAGGAGGTGGAACTTCGTTTCTTTTCTAAAAAAAAATGCTTGCATCTGTTTGAACGAGATTAAATCCGACAGCCGATGAATGGATGAGGTGCTGATGTCCCTTTGAAAGGACAGAAGAGGGGGGATACTAGATCCTGCCAAAAGTTGATTTTAAAAGGTGCTGCTTTTGTACATTTGCATGGAGTTTAATTTCTGGTTTTGGCAAAGAAGCAGTTTCAAAGTATTTACTTCTTGCATTCAAGAGACGAAAGTCTTGTGGCCATTCTCTTCCCTTATAATGATGATCCAGGGTTTCATCACTCCTATTTTCCCCCCTTTCTTCTTGCTTCCCCGTTTATGTAGAACCTAAATAATTGGCAAATGCTCACCTAGATGCAAACTGAACCAAGTGTTACTTGTTAAAGACTGTGGTTTCTAAACACATATATTCGGGATAGAGATGGTGGTAGTTAAAAAGAGATATTAATTAAAGCCCCTTTCCAATATTAACTGTAACTCACACCCTCCCTATCAGAAAGAAATATGTTCTGAAATTTTGAAGATTTTTAAAATTTTTTTACTTCTCTTTGTGTCTGGGAGGAAAGTGTAAAAGAAATGGAGATGTACAAATGCAATGTTCTTTTCTTCCATACAGTTTATTTAAAGAACCTCAGATTTTTAACTATGTTCTGTCAGGGAAAGATTTGTAGTTGTTTCTAAAACACCCTCAAAATCACAATGGTGTCTTAGAAACAAAATTAAGTGAAGCAGAAGCCATTGTTCTTGAAAGAGGGAAGGTCCTGGGAGGCATTAAGTCCAGGGTCTTAACATGGAATAGCTGTGAGGGCATTTGTGGATTCCCATACATTGTTCATTGAGAGTTATTTAAAAACCAGCAGCTAGTTGGGGAGGGTAGGAGGGCTGTAACTTGTCAAATCCAATTTCAGAACCTAAGTAACAAAATTTAGAAATCCAGTTTCAAGCTAAGAGAGAATCTCCTTTCTTTTTCTTAGGCAAAAAAGGAAATGCTGCTTTCTTGGCATCATTTCATTTGGTAACAGACTTGGCCTGAGGAGCAAGGTTGGGGAAAATAATTTATTCAACTTAGTAACTGTATTTTTTTTAATCCTCCTGTTCCCCAGCCAGTTTTCTCAAAATGAGATGAATTTGTGCCCCAGTCTTGCCCATATTCTGTTTCTTGGACCTTATAAAGTGCTTGTTCTGAAAAGCTGGAAAGTAATAAGAAATTCAATCCCCAATGTGTAAAGCAGAAGAATAAAAACATGCATTAAACCTGTTCAAAGAAAAGCACTTAAGACTTTCATTCAACTGCGATAATGGATTTAAAACACACATTTTGTTTGCCACATGTTTTTTGCTTGGACTTTGAGTTAAATCAGACTTTTTTCATACTCTTACTTGTATCTTACCTTGGAACTCAATCATAATGTCTGATCTCCATATAATAATGCAAGAAACCTATACACACGCCCACACTTTAGGAAGATGAAAACCAATACAAACTAATGTAAGGATAAGTAAGGAAAAGAAAAGAAAGAAATCATCATGAGAATTAAAAATGCAAGAGGAAAAAAAATATAGTATCTTAACATTTATTTTTACCTAAATTCTTTTAATTTGCCTATTAATATTTCAATTCCATTTAAAGAATCTTCCAGAAGTAATACCAAGAGAATTTATTACTCCCTCCAGAGTCTTGGGCTACATTTTAAAGTAGCAAACAACTATTAAAGAGAATGCTTTTTTTCATAATATACTTAAAATGTAAGTAAGTTCTTTATTTCATATAAAGAACATGTGCAGAACAGGAAACTACTTTAAGATTGAAGGCTGTAGTGGACACACTTTCTTGACCATAAATTTTATAGATGTTGATGACTTGCACTGAGAGATATTCATATTCCAACGTAGAGTTACCGAAGACAACAGAACTGTCATCATCAAATATGCTGCTTTGAATCTAGAATGTGACAATGTGTTTTATCCTCCTGTTGCAATCTGTGTGATGGTATTATTTTGACATATTTTTATTTTTTTTCCCAAGCAGCCAGATATCATTTTAGATGCTTTGAGGACATTTTTTGTAGGATTATACCATTTTAACATTTTACTATCAGCTGTGTGAGAAGGGTGCATTTTATAATATTGGAAAGAGAGACTAATTTTGCCTTTTTGGCCCAGAGTTAGTTAATATTCTGATTCATGTTCTATTGCATTGCTCATTTTGTTGGGCTATTTGTATTACTCTTTTTTGTAGAGTAGGTAGTCTATAGATGTTGCTATGCTTTATACGGCCAAGTTTCATGCTGCGGCTTGTTGAGCTTGTTCAATGGAAATTGGATTCATTTTGAGCTATTCATGTTATGAGTTTATTTAAATCTTCTTGACATGTTTTTTTTCTACCAGTGTTTTTCTGTTGGATGATCAATGATAAAAATCTGATTGTTGACTGACAGGTTGTTGACACAATGCAATACATTTTCCCAAAACAATAGTGATTCTGAAAGGACAAGCTTACCGAGTGCTGAAGTGGGAGCAAGCGGGGAATCACTGGAAACCAGAAGAGCAGCTCCCTGGCGGGAATGTCTAGCATGCACATGGTCTTTCGGTTTCTGATGCGCATGCAAAGACTACCTTCCCAGCGCGCGCATGCATGCCAGGGAGCTGCTCTTCCTGTTTTGGCACTGCTGCATGTGTGAAAACATGTGCGCCAGAACCTGGAAGAGCAACAGGCAATGACTGGCATGCCCGGAGAGATGGCTCTGCTTGCCACTTCTGGCATACATGCCATAGGTTCGCCATTATGGTCCTAGATAGTGGACAGGCAAAGCACAACCAAAATATCAGGATGGGTCTCTTTTTGTTTATTGGTTGGTTTGTGTTGTTGGTTGGTGAGTTAACAAAAGGTTAACTCACAAACTGCCCCATAGTGAAAAGATGGCAGACTACACTGAGTCAGCATGTAACAGTGGCTCTGTCTAGACTGGGGCAGACATGAAGAAAGGAGATCTACAATTGCTAGGAATGAAGTAAATTATGCAGGAATTATGAATGATAGCAGGAAAGAAGAAAAAGAAAACCCCTTGCATAGCTTAGATCTGGAGAGGAAAAAATACATTGAAAGAGGGAGTCCTCAGTGTTAGATTAAGTCCAACCATAAGGACATGCTGCTTGCCTAGAATGCAAGAAGACATTCATTGGGCAGGATTTAAAAACATGCCTGAGGTATGATGTGTTTGCACATCACAGTTGAGTGTTTTGCTGGGTAGAATCATATTAGCCATAGACAGACTTCACCATAGTACAAGCCTTCACTATGACCAAATGGTTGAAAACATTAAAATGATGTTTTCCTGGCAGTTCTGAAGCTTTCCTGTTCCAGTTAATATTTGGGGCAACTGGGTTTTAATAATTTTATTAATGATGCAAATTGGGCACAAGAATGTCAAGGATTTTTAAGAAAGGATTTTCTATTTTTCCAATTTTGAAAGAGGTTTGTTGTCTTCTACTTTTGCTGTAGTTATCTTTTTGTGAGTCTGTTATTACCAAGTCATCTTTTTGTGAGTCTGTTATTACCAAGTCATCTTTTTATGAGTTTCCTTTTTTTAAGAATGATGGGGAATAATGAAAATCATCGCTGTTGATTTTCATCAATGCATGACCAGATTTCTGGAAAAATATCATAAATAGATAAAAAGAGGAGGGGTTATAACCTTAGGGCTAGTTGTTGTTCACTTATTTATTAAATCTTTCAGTCCTTCAGCTTCATCAGTTGGGTGAGAAAGGAAAAAACAAATGGGAGGGGGAGGGAGCTGCCCTTCTGCTTTGACTGGAAAAAGCTGAAAGGATCATGAATAGATAGGACAATGCCTCCTTCATGCAACTACTCTTTGTACCCACGAGTAGTTATTAAATATAATATTTAATAATATAATAAATAATACTTCCTGTTAACTTGTTGATGTACTTGTAACCAACATTTAAATACAATGCATGCTACATTTGCTAAAATGCACTGCCAGAAATAGAGCTTAGGAAGGACTTATATCCCAAATTTATTGGCTGCTCAAGTCCTGACACTAGTTACAGCTCAGGTTCCTGTCAAAACAAATTATTCTGCTGGATGGTTTTTTTAAGCCCTCCGTTCATCCTCAGAGTCAGAATAAATGAACTTGCATAGCACATGTTTCTCTTGTTTAAAAAATCCCCCAAAACTATAATAAACGTGGCTTGTATTAGGAAGAGATGTGTAGCATGAAGCAATTATTTGGGAACTTTAATAAAAATAGGGAAGTGTAGAGTAAAACAGTTTTAATATGTAACTTTGTCTTGTGACAAAGTGTAGAAGTGTTTTCTTCTACAAAATAATTTACAGTATTTTTCGGAATACAAGACACACCTTTCCCCCCCAAAAAAGAGGGTGAATATCTGGGTGCATCTTACACACTGAATATAGCATTTTGGCCTCCCGAAATCCCACTCCCTGGGAGGGAGGGAGGAGTGAATAGTAAAATGAGTGAAAAATGGACCTTTTTTGTNCTCCAGAAGTTGTGAATGCCCCAACACTGGAAGTCTTTAAGAAGATGTTGGATAGCCATCTGTCTAAAATGGTATAGGGTTTCCTGCCTAGGCAGGGGGTTGGACTAGAATACCTCCAAGGTCCCTTCCAACTCTGCTATTGTATTATTGTATTACTGTATTCTTGTATTAACTGTATGGTTGTAAGTAGAAGATCTACATATTACAGTTTTTATCTAAATGCCACTCAAAATGGTGGGTAAATCCGTCAGTTTTTGTTTTTTTGTGGACAATGGATATTTTTATGTTAATCTTCCAGAGGGGGGTTAGTTCAATCCAATAGAAGAAAACATCTAAAAGTAAATAACTAGAAGAATATATCTAAAATATATGTCTATGAGGGTTGAACTATACCTCTCTTGTGCTCTTTGATTTTGGTTTGTTTGCTTATAGATGCTTTATTACTTAACTAAGTAATATCATCAGTCTGATGATGGGCATCCGCAAGCAAACAACCAAGATCAGAGAGCACGAAATTCAGATTTAGTCCACTTTCAAGACTGGATCCATGGTAGATGTTGCTATTTCATTAAAACTAAAAAAAAAATAATTGTATCTGTTGTTCACAACTAAAAAAAAATGGCTATGAGAAATTAAATATAGGTAGAAGTAGTGTATTCTTTTTGTTACCTGAATCAAAACACTGAAGCTGAAAAACAGTGTGAAATGTATCTTGATTGACTTCAACACATTCAATCCTTGCCAGGTTTAGGAAAGATTCCTTTGTAAAAACCTGAAGTAAAACTGGATAAAACTAAAGCAGCTGTAGATCTGACTGCCAGGGATCCAAGTAATAGATGCATTGCAAGCAAAAACTCTGAGGCCGAAGAATTCCTCAAAGAATCTCATATTGGCACATATCTGGTGAAAGCCAACTCTTAGGAGCCCCTTGATTTTTACCTAATTAAAAGTAAAAAGTTTTCCCTCAACCTAAACAATCAGTCACATGGCCCAATTATGGCAGCCTCTGTGGGTCTGGCTACATCACTCTTCCTTGCTCTAGCCAGGTGTGAGAATGTCCTTGGTTCCCAGGGGAAAATATTTTATTTTGATTACACAAGCCCAGCTATCTCTATCCCTCAGCTCCATTGTGGCAGCACTGAGGCTCCAAGATGGCTTCAGGGTGGCCAGTTTTAGGGTTGACACTGACACAGTCCGGTGTTCGATGTTCCTGTTAACTGCTGAAATGATGGCTATATACAGATGAAAATAAAAAAAATTAGAATATCGTGCAAAAATTCATTTATTTCAGTAATGCAACTTAAAAGGTGAAACTAATATATGAGATAGANGAGAGAGAGAGAGAGAGAGAGAGAGAGAGAGAGAGAGATGGATAGATGAATAGATGGATAAATGGATAAATGGATAAATGGATAAATAGATAAATAAACAGATATTCAGAGAAGTGAATGAATTGTGAATACATTGTGAGTGAATGCATTGTGAATATGAACATTTTGAAGAATTTTGATTAGCAGTGGTGTGTTGTAGAGGCCAAGTTATAAATCTGGCATGAACTTGTAATGGTTCCAATCCCATGTAATTGGGCACTGACAATTCATTTAGACAGATGTTTTCCATAAGTCAGCTTTTGAAATAGACTTGCCAATTTTCATTCCAATCTTTAAAATGAAGTTTGTTGATGAATTGTATTTCATCCTAATTATAAATTATATAACTTGTATAATTAAATAAAACTATCATTTAGATAATGGATAATATAATATTTTCATTCAATAGTATTCTTTTAGGCTGTTTTTTAATAGCTAAGTTTATGTCAACTTCTTAAATTCTGAGCTTCTGATGAAACAAATTAACTTAGTTTACTGTTATGATTGAAGATGAAATGAAGATTTGATTTATTACATGATAAGTTGATGAGTTTAGCCAACTTCATGATTTTTCCTTATTTTTCAGCTATCTTGTTTCATCAATCAGTAAGAAATGTTTTCTCTTTTTTCATTGAATAGATAAGCTTTTAATTCTAACTATCGCAACCAAGGAAACAGATGGCTTCCACCGATTTATGCAATCAGCAAATTACTTCAACTACACAGTAAAGGTATTGTGTGTTCATTTACCCTTACACGATGTTGCAGACAATTTACACTCTGTGTATATACACACACATACATAGATGGGGAATTTATGCATTAGGTTATACTCTGCTAAAATGAAAATATAAAATGAAATCAGAAAGTCTTTCTGTTGCCGTGGGCTGCATATGTTTGCCAGCTCAATATTATTCTCTCCTATAGCACTTTGTTAGTGTTACCTAGGTCTTAATCTTCCAGATGCTGTCTTTTATTCATTTCAGGAGACAGTTTCAAAGAGTTATAGACTGAAATGTTGGCAAGATTTTTAACAGTCTGTAAATATTACCTCTTTCTGTTTCCACTCAATTACCTTCATGGTGCTTGCATCTGTTACGATTCCAAAATATTCCCTTTTATTCCATAATTTTATATTAACAATATCACCTCTTGCCATCTCAGCACAATTTATTTTCGGTTTGATGTTTTTATTCTGGCTCCTGGATTCAGTGAGATACGTGTTTCTCTGATTTAGTCAATACACATATAATGATAATGGTCTCTTTAGTTTTAGCACCATTATTTAAAAGTGAATATTACTAAGATATTCAGAACATGATCTTTAGATATCAGATTTCTTTTGATATAAAACAAAAAAACTTTTTTTTATCCAATTAGTATTGCAGGGATATTGAAAATTTGGAGTGGAAACTGGATTGTGCTTTATGTTGTGTTGCCAGTAAACTTTTTTATGAACAGCCTAGGCATATGTATGCAAAATTATGTGCTTAAAAGACTTCAAGTGTTTTAGTAACTTTAAAATAAGGCAACAACTGATCAAGTGGAAGATGCCTCTTCTTTTAATGACCCCATAATCCCTTCCGGGGTGAAATCTGGGCAACTGAATGGAGCTAGCCGAGATTTACTGTCCGGATGCCCTCTGCCAATGCAGAGTTTTGTTTAGCAGATATATTCTCATTGTGCCCATCAGGGGTGGGTTCCGGCTGCTGCTACTGCTGGTTCACTCAGGGATGTGCTGCATGCTTGATGCACGCTACAAGCGCATGTGCAGTATTAAAAAATGCTTCTGCACATGCACAGAAGCAAAAAACAAGATGGCTGCGCCTATGGGAGCGTGGGAGGCCGAGTTACTACCTACTCGGCCGAACCGATCCGAACTGGTAGGAATACAGCTCTGGTGCCCAGAGAGAGAAATATCTGCCTCTATCTAGGATCAAACTCACAGCCTCCTGATTGTGAGGTGAGAACTCCGTCTCTGGGCCATCGCACCATGGAAGATGCCTATACATGTGTCTCTTATTTTCATAAAGGATCTATTTAAAAAGGAGAAAATATGTCATATTTAAGAATGAAAGAACAGAGTGAAGAGAATAATTGATTCACCTAACATGTTTAGACTCAATTGATTGTTTCCAGCTAGTTTATAAGCTTTAAAAAAAAAAAAAATTTACTTTTCATACCAACCTAAATACTGTTTGGAAATTGGGATATCAGATGTGAGCTTTCTCCCATTTTTCTAGTTTACCATCTCTAGTTACTCGCTTGAGAAAAAAGCTTTGTAATCACTATCAAAAGCACTAAGGAAGACAAGAAAGACCATATTCGTTTTAACGTTTTGTACCTATTAAAACCTTGATCCCATCTCCATTTTTTTTGAATTTCACAACCAGCCAGTTTAATAAATATCAGATCATGTAAAAGTCATTGAACATTCTGCAGCTTAGTATTCTGAAAGTACTTTAGCCCCAATAGTGTAAAAACATATTCAGGCTTTTAGGCATTTTTTAGGCATTAGTGCAATGTACAGGAATAGAGATAAAGCACCAGAAACGTGTTTCTGATTTGTACAGAAAGGAGCAATTTTCTTCACACTAACCCTAACCCTAACCCTTACTTTTGGTTCTTTTGATATTTTAATTCCAAGCATATGTTGTAAAAGTTAGTGAATATTAATCAGTTCTTTTAACACAAGTGGAGTCAGGGGTCAACTATCCTTTCCTTAAAAAAAAAGTTGAAGCCTATTATGCATATATACACTCTTTCAAATATCATGTCCTCCAAAGTTAACCCGTATTAAGCCAGCATTTCACTACTCATAAATTTTCTGTATCCCAAACTACAGAAACCAACGACACCAGTCTTCAAATATTCTTAACCATATAGTAACCCTCCCCATTTTTTCTTACACATGAAATTACAAATAGCATTGTCTTGCAGCTACTCTTAAAATAGAATAGAATATATTCTGCATAATAGAATATCCCACAAATTTTTGTAGGTAAATGTTTTGTGACTTGGGTAGAAGGACACCGTAAACAGAATGATGTCACAGAATGGATAAGGGTAGAAATGTTAGTTTCTTAGACGCGGGGAAAGGAAATTGGAGGCTGTTTTATTGTTATTTTTCCAAGTTGATAAGCTTTCTTATACAGGTAGTATATAAGACCTATACCTGTATAAGTGTTATGACCACAAATGAGCCCAAAATTTTGATTGCTAAGCAAAGCAATTAAGTGAAGCATAGCCCATTTTACATTCTTTTTTGCCGTGGTTATTAAATGAATCAATATAGTTGTTAAGTGAATCATGAGATACTTAAGTGAATCTGGCGTCCCCATTGACTTTATTTATTAGACGTTCTCTAAAGTGGTAGTAATTGATAATCCAAGGTCCTTGGGTTGCTGCAGCCATTGTAAATACATACCGGATGTTAAGCCCTTAAAGTCTGATTAGGTGACTGTGGGTATGCTGGGATAGTCATAAGTGTAAAAAGTGGTCATAAGTGTAAAAAGTGGTCATAAGTCAGTGCCATTGTAAGTTTGAATGGTCATTAATGGTCATTAATGGTCATTCAATGGTGAAAAGAGTAAGGTTCTACATTTAGGCAAGAAAAACAAAATGCACAGGTACAGTATAGGTGGTACCTTTCTCAATAGTAGTAACTGTGAAAGGGATCTTGGAGTTCTAGTGGACAACCATTTAAATATGAGCCAGCAGTGTGCAGCAGCTGCCAAAAAAGCCAACATAGTCTAGGCTGCATAAGCAGAGGGATANCTGCAGTGCTGCATTTAACCACTGCGCCACCTCGGCTCCTAGAACAGCTCATTCTTCTTATATGTGTTAGTCCTTTCTGTCAGAAAAGACTAGGCAACATGTATTTTTAATTTGCAATATTAAATGCACAGAAACTGTAACTAGATAATAGCAACTTTTTATCCTCCTGAAATAGAGTCATGAATACTACTTTTCTTTTTGCTGTAGAAACATTTCCTACAAGTATAAAACATATACTTAAAAGGATTAATAAATGGATTGTATCTTTGGGTCGGGCAAGAATTTTAGCATTTGTCATTCAAATTTGGAAGAAATGCAAAGTATGTTTAATTTTCAGGGTCACAAATGTAGAGAAGGATTTAAGTGTCTCACTTTGCCTTTTTGTTAATATACTTTAGGACTTTGCTGTGTTTTCTCATTAGAGACTTTAATTCTTTAATCCCTCCATTTTGGGTGGTTTCCGGCTGCTGCGACTGCCAGTTTGCTGACAGACATAATGGGTGCCTGCGTACGCAGTGCAACAAAAATTGCTCCGCACATACGCAGAAGACAAAAACAAGATGGTACTGCTTATGGTACTGCCAAGAGAACATTTTGGGGGCGTGGCAGGCCTGGGTCGCTGCTGTTTCCAGCGACCCAGGCCACCAAGTTACTACTAGTTCTGCTCCAATTGCTTCCGGCAGCTGGTCAAATATGGCAGCAACTGTTTGTGCTGTTAGTAGGCAATTCTTAGCAACCAAATCCAAGTCGCCTTTAAAATTGTTCCTAATATTATTCTTGTTCTCCCTCCAACTCCTACTGGAATTGTAACTCCCTCTTCCACAGATAAGCAGTCTTTCTCCTCCCAATCCAGAAGGGGGCTAGGTTTATTTGGGGAGGGGAGAGGAAGAAAAGAGAAAAGGAGACTTACTTGCAGTGTCTGTTATCTGAAAAAACTCTTTTATCTCAAGTTGTCTGGGTGTTGTCGCAGCCATGGATAGCTGGTTTTGTTTGCTTAGTAGAGAAAACTTTCCTTCACTAAATGCTTTACTAGCTGGAGTAAAAAAAACTGAAGTTAAAGCTGGATTAAAAGAAGAACCTCTCAAGTAGTAAAATTGAAACTTTTTAAAGTTAAAAGTTAAAAATTTATTTACAAGTAGAAAGAATTTTTTAAAAAAAGAATAAAAATAGAGAGTAAAAAGGAGAACAAAGTTAAAAGTTAAAAATTGATTTAAAAATAAAAATAGTATTTTTAAAAGAAGAATAACAATAGAGAGTAAAAAGGAAAGCAAAGCTCAAAGTTGCTGGTCACTCTTGTATTTGCTACATTTCCTCCCATAACTAAGTTGAGAAAGAATAAACCACTTGTTCAACACACAAACCTGGCTGATAATGTCATTGTGGGGAAGTTAAGTGGTCACTACACAGTTAACCTCTGGACTAATTAAAAAGAAATAGTTAGAACAAAGTAACAAAAGCAATCTGATATCCCAACATATCCTTTTTTTTTTGCCTGACTGCTTTGTGACTACTTTAACAAATAGTCTGGATGATTCTTTTCTGGGACAGAGAAAGGGTAGAAGAAGCCAGCAGAATAACATTAGGTCATTCTGCCTTGTGGTGAAGAAAATGCTGTCTGGAAGGCTGTGTTATGGGTTGCATCTGGATCATGTCACCAGCTTAACATTTCTGCTTTCAGCTTTGGAAAGAGGGAAAATGTAGCATTGAGCCAGCTGCCACTTTCCTCCCTCTGCCACCTTTTCCTTATTTTGCATTGTTCTTTATCTCAGTCTCTGGTTTGGTCAGCTTGCCCAGAGAGCTGTTTGTAGCATCCACCAGACAGTTTTTGGAAACAGAAGAAATCGAAAAGCAATTTTCTTTTCTTTCATCCTTCTTCCAAAACTTGGGGAAAAGGTGACAGTGAAATTTTTTAGAAACCTACTCTCCCTCCTCCCTCCCACCAAATTCCTGCCAT